TGTAATTGCATTGAAATTAAATTAATATAATAAATGAAATACTAACTAACGCTGTTTAATGAAACTCAATTCGATGTGAAGTATTTATAGTAATACATTGCATTTGTTTGTAGTCCAATAAAATAAATCTTGTCTGCAAATTAATGTTTTGATTGACACATTTCAATATTTCAGTTGTTTAAACCTATAAATATGTGAAACGTATAAATATTTAAATTGAAACACATCACATTTTGCAGTTGTTAAGATACACTGTGAAAATTAAGTGATATTTTTTTCTGATTAAGCATTAAAAATATTAATTTATATAAAAATAAATTTAAAAATTGAAAATTTTCTTTAAAACAAAAAAAGAGCACGCGGTGTGAAAGAAATTAATTCACGTAATAGCAAAATCTGGTAGCGGCACTTATTTAATAGGCAACCATGTTTTATAATGTAGATAAAACAATAACTTTAATATGATGTACGCATAGTTTTTTTGAAAAATATGTAAGTGTAAATAATTACCATTAACATATTACCTGTTTTCACTTGACAACCTACAGATTGTGGTCAACTGAGATCAGCCCTGCGATTACCTGAATTCTAATTCAAGCATGTGTACGAATTTAGTGTGGAAATTCTATTGTTTTATTTTACTAAATCACAAATCTAAATTTTACATAAAACTTATTCGAAAACTGAAATCTACGCAAAATTCTTTGAACTAAACGATAGCGCAGTTTAGAATAGACGTCATCTAGAATAGCAAAGCTTAATTTAGTTCTAACTATATATTATTTGAAAACTATACCTTGACCAAAATGCCATCTAGTATAATAAATATGTAAAAAAATTGTTAGTTTTGTATATAAATTTATTAAAACTTGACCATTCAGTAAAATTATTTTTTAATAAATCTATACCAATAATATTTATATATATATATATATATATATGCGTTTCTAAATACATGTACTACATTCTGTAGGTGTATATTATGTATATATGTCTATATATTTGACAGCGTATTTCACGTAAATGTAACATTAGATTGAAATGATACTCTTTTTTGTTTAATTAACTTATTTCAACTTAGGGGAAATTACCTTAGAAACGAACTGTTACCAGAATAGTAGGTTGTTAGGTTAGAACTGCGACCCCAATAAAAACATATTGCTTCATGAAACTATTATTTCTAACGCACTAGGGTTAGATTAAGTTAGAACTGCTAGCATCAGAGAAAATGTTTATCCAGTAAATATAAGTGTGTTTTAATACATATGAAGGTGTCCATTTATTATTATAAGTTAGAAGGAAGAATATGGATCGGTGATAACTACTATTATTAAAAAAATAAAAACAATTTAAAAAATGAACCGACAGACATAAAAGGTTTTTTTTTTTGAGGTCAGTGCAAGTATGGTAAGAGAAAATTTTTCTGATAGATCTCTTTTAATTTTACTAGAGGACACGGTTGTCTGGAAATTGTTTTTAAGGAAAACTCTTGCAGACGCAATTTAAAAGTATGCAATGGCGTATTAAACAGCTAATTTCGTAGAACAAATCCGGAAAGTTTATACATTTTTCGACAGTACCTGCTAATATTGTATTCAGGCATTCAAATTTCGTCGCAAGCGTAAATCATGCATCATAAATATTAATGGCGAGCTGTACGAAATGACATGTCATTAGCATATTATATTCACGTCATGTGGGGACCGTGATCCTGGTGACGTGACTCCTGTGCTGAAATGTAACTGAAGAAGATGTAGGCAATTAGGACGCAACTTAGAACGAGACGGAAAATGTACAGAAAGCTTTTATTAAGACATTTGTAATGCACCTTATTTTATGGACCTAAGTTTGGAATCGCCCCCATCATTGCTAAAATCACCTCTTTCGATTTGGTTTGTTGCACTTTAAAAGATAGTTTTAATAAGTGTGTACTAAAAAGGAAGAGAATTAACGTTAAAGTAATATAGATCAAATATTCGCAGTGGATAAGCGTCTCGTAATTTCATAAAATTTGGAACACATGGGAGCGCCTATTTTTTATTGATATTTTCAAAGCACCCGCCTGCCTTTTGTAACAGGAACTAGATAACAGGAGGCATTACAAACATACGCGAATGTTTTAATATATGTATACAAAAATTCGAAAGAGGAAATATTTCACTGTTAGTTTGTTTACATTGAACATATTTCGAAACTACTGGACTGATTAAAAACTCTTTCGACGACGGAAAGTTACTTCATATGCGAGTAACATAGGCAATAATGTATGCGAGTGATATCACGGCAAATCAGCTAGTATGTCATAAACACAATAAAAATGGATATAACATACTTTATAGCAGATAAGATTTCTTGATTGTATTTTCTGATACATTTCCATTTAGAAATTTAATACATAATTATTAATCATTAGTTATCAAGAGTTATCGAAACAATATTATTTTCCAACAAAATAAAAAGAGGTTTGTTAGAACGTAACGTAGTCAAGAAAATTGCTGTAAACTAGTGGCGGATGCTTTTGACGTGTAATATACTCGTACTTTCGTTAAAATTTCATTCATAGCAACATTATTTCAGAAAACATTATAGCTATTTCTTGCTATGGCGCTTTTTCTTATGACTTTTATAAAAAAAAACCACTGATTATTCTGTTTTGGCAAAATTGAAATTTATTTATACAAAAATAGCTCCTAATCCGTATTATTGTTCATTAAAATCAGTATTACTTATAAGTATCACGATTGAAATTATATAAGCCATATGCATAAATAACAGTTTTCAAAGTCTAAAGGATAGGTATCTATCACGGAAACAGCTATCTAAATTGTAGGTATCTTGTATAGGAAGCTATCATTTGTTACGGCGTAGTAAATTTATTCACTACCAATTTCATCGATATCGGATAAACTTTGTTTAGTTATTTGCTTTTTTATATTGACGAGAATGTAATTTTTATAAAGCTATATTAATATTAGGTGTAATTGTCGCATGTTTTCTTAAATATAAAGATATAAGTTAATACGATTTTTGATTATTTATTTACATTGAATAGATACTTCAATAACACTGGACGGAATTTAAAAACTCTTACGCGGGTAACGCAGGCGAAGTGGAAAGGAAGTAGCCAGTAAAAATATAGTAAACATGAACTAACCATTTACTAAAAGATAAAGCAGCTGATTTTTATTTGCACCGTGTACACGTGTACATTCAATTTCAACAATTTTTAAGATAACGTTATTGATTAGATTGTAGAAAATTAATCCATAATCTGATTTCCAATTTAATTTATCGACAACGATTAGAAAAATTAAATTGCATATCCTGATATAACTTTACCTAAAATTCTCTATGTATTTAAACATATTATTTATCCGTAACGATTTCCGTAAGATCCAAAAACCCCTTTGGTAATTCAGTTCCTATGATACAACAGATATTATAGTCCTCTAGAGTGTACTGAATATAATTTATGACGTGTAGGCTAATTCATTGATGCACGGCCGTACCAGTCTGGCTTATACGGCATACAACTTCATTAGAACGAATGTATTATTTACATATTTCCGAAATAGATGTATTCTGGATATATTTGTATAACAGAAATATTGGCGTTAAATAATATGATAAAATTACACTAATGAAATATATTAAATATGCCAACTGGCCCATATTAACTTATTCTAACTTAAGACATACAAATTGCATGTCAGAGGTCAGTATTCATGACAGGTCTCAAATAATTAATAAATAAAGATAAGGAGATATGTAGTTCTTTTTATCTATTTTCGATGGTAGATTAAAGTGATAAACACTAAATAAAATACGGACACAATGATAGTCAAATTGTTTATTTATAAGGAGCAAACAAGTTATAAAATGCCAAGGTTACGTATTAAATAATATAATAATTTATCAAGCATTTTACGGTAGATTATTAAGAATATTTTTATTTATAGGCTGCATTGTAGTAGAAATCAAGTAACTGATAAACATCACAATAGTTTGCCGTTGTCTTTTGCAAATATGAATATAAAATCTACAGTAATTTAGACACTTCGTCGCTTTATTTAATCCGTACTTTCTGTAAATACAGTGTTAAGTAGCTAGCAAGTCCTCCATGACATAGTTATTTCTAAAATATTTTTAAATAAAATTCCACTGTAAATAAAGACAGGAAGAAAGAACACGTACCTGGCTATAGATTACTTCTATACTAATATTATAAAGGTGTCATTGTTTGTTTGCGTTGAATAGACTCCAAGACTATTGGACTAATTGAAAAAAATCTTACACAAGCTACATTATAAGCGGATGACATGTGCTATTTATTACTACGTCTACGTCGCGGAAAAATAAATAGTCAGTAATAATTAAAAAAAAAAGTTCAATATTGTACACACAACAGCACGTCAAATTACCAGAAACTCTATCATCGATGCGTTTAAAATCGAGTGGAGAGATTTGACAGTTTATTATAAACTTGCGTGCTGTTGTCTGTTCAAAACTGGCCGGCTAGCTGACCTTACATAACTCACGTTGATTTATGTATATTAAAAAAAGCCTTTTTAAAATAATGAATTACGATTTTAATTCTCAACAATCAATAACATGGTTTTAAATAACAAAAAATCTCCATAGTTTTAGGAGTATACACGTACTTATAAATTAAAAACAATAATTAACAACTTTAATCTACCATTAATCCTTGTATTTGGGTAGCAGCGACCTTGCAAAGTTCTAGACCATAGATCTTAATGAAGCCCTTGTTTAATGTATAAAATATAAGTTAAATCACTGCTTTCGAAGATTAGAATTTTATTGGTGAATATTATTTTTTATTCGGATTTGATTTTACTGTTTCTAGAATCCTTTTCTTCTATTCTGGTAATTGCGGAAGACTTTTGGAAGACCGTGGATCTAGATGCTCCTGGCCTTCGGTATCGGCCTCAGCCTCCAGTCCAAGTAATGTAACAATTACTTAAATTGAGACCCAAATAAAAAAACAAGTAGACTTTCGATTTTCGATGTGATGTACGATGTTTCATGCTTCTAATATACAGTAAAATATATATTTCATTTATAGCCCTAGTGGGTTTTCAATCCATGGGTAACGGTTGGGGCACGTGTTACAGATACCCATCCAGAATTGTTGCTAGAAAAACAAAAAAAAGGTCAATAATATAATTGAAAAAAAACCTTGTGTTTCATAAGCAAATTCTATTTCTGTATTAAGAATTAATTAACTATAATCAGAGGAGAGTAATGCTTTAAAACACCACTTGATCTCTGACACCCTGAGATGGGATTCGAACCCATAACCTTTCGCAATCTGAGCGACTGCTCTAACCACTGAGATCTCAGAACCTAACAGGACTGACGAATCTTTTAAGCACTTGTTACTTTTTCGCTACTACAGAGCGTATTCTCATCAATCCACCCAAACAGTCGAAAAAAATATTTTTGCAAATATTTTAAGTTTTCGATAAAGATGATTTTTTTTCTAATTATTACATTTTTACATTTGATCAATGTTGCATTCACAATGCTATACTGAAAAATATTCTTAATGAAAAACGCTTAAAAATCCACTTGGTCCCTGGCTTTCGAACCCATGAGCATTGTTTAATTTATTAAACAATGCTCATGGGTTCATCTATTTTAGTAATTGGATTTTCAGAAAAATATATATACAGCCTTTTCATATTTTTACAGTTCCCTTTTAATGTATTTTTTATAAATATAAAAGTACCATTATCTTACACAACTATTTATTTATTGCATACTTTGTAAGTCGGAAAGTTAGTTTCAATACTTGTACAAATAAACAAAAATTCGACATCTCTCCTATTTCTTTTATTACACTCTCGCAAAATCTTTCAGATATAATCTTTTCAATTCATAACATGAAGGAATTTGCTTGCGAATTATACGGACTATTAAATAGTTCATATTATTGTTTATGATTATATTATGTATAAAAAATTACCTCTGTGTGAGTCGACGACAGAGGTCCACAGTTGTTAGGTATACAAGGAGATGGCTGATTTTGACGACAAGGCTGCTCCCTATATTCATTTACCGGAATTGGATTCTTGACCCAATTTATTACTTCAGCTGAATTCACCTGAAAAGCAAAAACACATCAGGTTATACAAAACTGCAAATTTCCCCACTCGCTTGCTAACCTTAATATATTGAGGGTAGAGGAGAAATTCCATTACGAAAATTTGACATATTGTTGTAACGTGACGTGCAACCGTGTTTACGTCTCAATTCTCAAATTTTAAAAAAATATGTTTTTAAATTTTTTAATTTAATCTGTCACATAATCCATCATTATAACGCTATAAATTGCAGTCTAAACTAAAGCTACGGTTATATTGGGCTTGTCTCGCCAGCGCGGATCGGGTTCAAATCAAATCATTTTATTAACCTTGTAACAGTATATCACTTCTTACTGTACTTCTTATATTGTTCCGGGTCTGGTTGTTGTGGTACCTACGTTACCTCAGATACTCCATAATACCTGATGGCCTTTAATTACTAATCTTAAAATCTGAGCAGTGTATGTGATATTTTGTATATTTTTATTTATTTAATTATATTAGCCCCGTTACGCGTGGCGAATACCTTTATATAACCTAATCCTAAATATATTTTCTCGGCCATGGTGCCACGTAACGCGGGCTTAATATTACTGCTGCGTTTACACTCATAATAATAAAGTTCCTGCTTAATTTATTGTATCATATTGTCTATAGAAATAAATTGAATCACAGGTTATCGCTAGAAATTTACAGTTGGTGTCATTCACGGAACATAGCTCAGTATTATGTAGTGCCATATATGGAGTGGAAGTGGAAAGTGGAAATCTCATTTCTAAAAATAGAGTAAATGCTGTGAGATGAAATTTAGAAGCTAATTATGAAATTTGTATTATTTGTGTTTTATTAATTCTTCAATCTCATTCAAAAAGTAAGCAAAATGTACATATATTACACGAAAAATTTAATACCCCATACGAAAGCAAGACCTATTAACTTACTTTAATACGTCACTAAATGCCCATTGTCATGTGGCCGTAAGATGTAATATGGCAAAACATTTACTTGAAAATAATAATTATAGTTTCTTTCCTACAGAAACAAAATTACGACCAACGAGTGATTGCTAAGCTCTATTACGAGAAATAAGTCGAATTAAAGAGTTTTAACCGACTTAGGAAAACCTAATGATGTCCATTATAATACTCTTACTAATCATTTTTAAATTGCAATTACTCTATATTCTTTCGCCTCTTTGACTACTTAGATAATTATCTTAAGATATTTACAGCATTCGTAACTGAGAGAAGTGCGCCCAAAACGCATCGAGTAAGCGTGCACAGTTCATTTATACGACATATAAAAGATCCTTCACTCCACCAACAGCTGAAATAGAATTATGCTGCTGGCTTTTTTATAATAACAATGGCTGGTTGGCATTAACTGTAGCAAAAGAACTTTTCTATAGGTACTGTCTCAGATCTAAGAGGTACCTTCATTGTTTCAGATTTCCTGATACAAATAAAAAAAAACTACTTATAAGGATCAAAGTAGTGTATGTAAGGCTGTCTTTATATATATATCATTTATTATTATACGCACACTACTCGTAAAATAAAATAACTTTTAATCAGTTTTATCACAACAATAACTTCTATTTTTAATTCGAGTGTATTTTTGAAAAGTTATTACATTATTCTGATGAAATGAGAAAATATAGATTACAACGGAGAGAACAAAAAGATCTGTTTTCAAACCGTATTCTTTATATTTTTATTGCTTATGGTCTTGTTATAATAAAAGTGAAGCTGTTATCTTCATTATGATACAAAAAGGAAATCGGATTTTTAACTTACCATAAAGACATCGGGCACATTATTAATAGTGTCCAAAAATCTGACCAAAGCTTTGTAGACTCCTGGAAAGGTTCGGACATACCACTCGTGAACGTAAAAACCGAAAGGTGCACGGTTGTTAAAATAGTGTCTTTCAAAATTTGTGCTGATAAATTCGAACCAAGCATCCTCATCGTCCAATGGAGGTCTGTAAGTATAAATTAATTAGCAATCAACGCTGCAAAATAATACATGCTAATTAATTTTTTTGCTATAATTTTATGACTCACGGTGCGAAGCAAGCATCTGCCATAGCACAAGGGTTGTTCTGCAAATCTCTCCATGAAATCATAGGGAGCACCCATACACCTTCAATAGACGCAGTTGGACAAGGAGGCAATTGGCAGTCTTGAATAGAGGCGTGATCCAATGTATACGGCCATAAGCCAGGATTGATAAAAGAAATGGTTGGCCAAGAAGCGTCATATGTCATGCCAGCGCTTTGTAAAACTTGAAAACTTGCGTTGCCAGCCAATTGGAGGAAAGGCATTCGTATACCTGTGCCAAATTATATAAGAGTTACAAATTATAATAACATTTTATATTATTCACTTGTTATTAATTCTCTACTTATGTACTGACCTTGAATGGCGTCTAACGGGATATTGGCAAAGTGAGACATCAACACTCTTTGGTCAGCAAACTCTTTTTTAAGGGTGCTATAATCAGCTTGAGCCCAGAAAGTTTGTGGCGTCCGGTGGGTGATGGAGTGTAGACCGATTTCAAATCCATTTGAATATAATTCGTTTACCAGTTGGTAGTTTGTGTATTCGTGACTGACATAGAACGTAGCTCCTGCTGGACAGCCATTAGCATTGGTACGACCATATAGAGAGGAACGGTAAGTTTCTATATTGAGGATGTTGACGCCATCATCGAAAGTAACTAAGACAAACTGAAAATAACAAATTGAACTTGATAAACAAAAAAATAAAGATAAATACTTTCTGCATTGGATTTCATCTACCGACAGTAATTTTATACATAGAACGATATACATTACCGGAAAAAGAGGAGACAACAAACCAAAACAAGTTGTATGATTTGACTCATTATTCGGAAATTTCAGGACGTGTGGCTGATCGCCTTAAATAAGGTCGACCAACGACCAGGCGAGAAGAGATGGAATGATATTCTAATTTATTGAGTCCACTCACTTGCGGCGTATCCCTTGGTCGGAGTCCTCCTGGAATAGCTGTGGATGAACACCTGCAATTCGGCAGTTTACAAGCTTCTACGTCACATGGCTCCGCTAATGGCAATTCATTTTCATCGTCTTCTGCCGCTACTATATTCACCAATAATAGTGGAACCAGTAGCCAAGTCAACTTCATTTTGACACAATTTATTTATTGCAAATAAAGTAATTGAGTGCATTTCGCCATAATTTATAATATTTTTTTTGTTTATCTGATTTACTTAATTAGCACGATAGATGAACAGATAATAAAGTCAATTTTTATTCGTACACCAAATCTTATCATTCAAATGATTTATTTGCAAAAATTTAATTGATTAAATGCTGTTTGCAATAATATTAACATGGTAAAGTAAGAATAGATAATATGTAATAGACACATATAATTAAAAAAATATGTTTTCCTGTTTTCTGTAATTCCATCAAAAGTAACATGCACGAAATATGCACTAAAATAATGTCATTTGAGCCCTGGTTAATAACTTATTAAATATAATTGTATTCTCTTGTAGTACTCGTCACAAATCACAAAACTTGCGAAGACACATTTAAAGCTTTAGCGACACAAATTAAAAGGGATCTTTCCCGCGTCCCAATAACCCTTGGATCATAGACACTACTGCAATCTTATATTTCCAGTGCGAGACATTAGCGTATTATTGATTTATATGTACATACGACGAAGAGTGCAAACAAGTCATCAGAAGAGCTTTTGTGTACCTCAATAATGTGATATTAAATAAACAATATCATTAAATAAAGGGTTTAATGAAATCGCATATTTACTATGCACGTCATTAGTTGCTAAAACTGCTAATAAACATTTTGTTCAATTTGGCCCGAGTAATTAATACTGGTTTAAATTATATGTTACTTAGTAAAATCTATCCACATCTTCTCGCATTATCGTATTACATTAAGGTTTATACAATGTATTTTTGAGATTCTAAAAAGTAAAATCTGTCTTTAAATGCAGGCTTCTAGTTTGTTCCACAATAACGGATTTATAATTAGCCTGAATGGCCTCAAGAAAGGGATTGTACGGCAATACTTTTTAGGCGTTAACTTGACACGTTAGCCGTTAACACTTCCGTATCCTCGGGTATAATAAATTAACGTGTTATTAGTATAATAAACAAATAATTGAAAGTTTGACAGGATTAAGAAATAATGTAATCGTGCAATAACAATAATATAACAGTAGCCCGGATTGCGGAAGGGCATGGGTTCGAATCCCATCTCAGAGTACCTGGAGCATGTGGATTTTTTTTTAATTATTTCTCATTAAGAAATAATATATTTTGTTTCAAAAAATCTATTCAAATATTAATGTATTTTTGTTATTTATTTGTCATGATAATAAAAACGCTGATTATTAATACTGAGAAGTCTCTAATTCAACGATAATTTGTTTATAATCTAAATGTGATATCATTTATAAATATTTTTTCAATAAAATGCGAGTATATACTCGCATTTTATTGAAAAAATATTTATATTTTTGTTTTTAATTAATAAAACAAAATCATCAGAATCATTTTTAAACTACAATATCATTATAGGCTTAAAATTTTCAGAAAGCGCCGTTTTAGTTTACTAAAAAAATTAGCTAATATGAACGTAACTGATAAAATTCGCAAATACATAATTTCTAAGAGAAATAGTTGCGATAGGAATACGGAATTAGTTGTAGTGTACAAAACTAGTATTTCACCCGCGGCGTCATTTACTGTACATTCAAACTTTTCTCTTGAAAAACTATGTATACCGCATTAAAATCCTTTGTGCAGTTTAAAAGATCTCATAATACAGAGAGCGGGAAACTACTTTGTTTTATATTATGTATAGAAGTATTTAGAAGTAACCTATCACTATCCAGGCGAACAATCACCAGAGCTCCTGTCAAGACGAACTAAAGATGCCATACTCTGTTCCTAGGGCATGTGAAACAAAAATGGTTAATGACAAAACTTTAAGTGACCATCAAAAGAAAACTATATGTTTCGCAATCCAAAAAAAATGATAGAAAGGTCCATCTTTCCATCATTTTGTTCAACGACTTGCAGCGTTCTGTAACGAAACGTAATTATAACTACGAGAAAATGATACAGGGTTACTTTTTTACTTTAAATAAGGCCTATTGCTGCATCGATGATCGATACTAAAAGCAACTACGCGCCTACAAAAATCCATCTTAAAATCAACGTTATTTTAAAGAAACTATTCATATATTCATAGAGCGTCGTAGGCGTGTTTACCTCAACAGTTACTACAATTTCAATCCAGTTTCCAATGCGATGTTTCACATAGCGCGCGCGATGTAATGGTCCTCGTCCACGGTCCAAGAATACGTGACTGAGAATACGCGGACGGCTAACCGTTTCATCTCACAATAATGTGTAATGTTTTGAAGAAGAAACGTGTTCTGTACGAGTATTACTATGATCTATGTTATTGTTATCTTTCCGTTATTCTCTAATGTTTCCCTTGCTTGTTATGTTTTACAATTGTTTCATATAACTAATAGTTGTATTAGTAATTTTAGTGTAAGTATAAACTCTAAACAATTGGAAATTGGGCCATTGAAATTGTTAACTTTTTCACATAATTCTTATGTCGATTAATGAATCGAAAAGCTCGTTAGCAACTAGCTAGTCATTTAACCTGTTTTATGACACTTTGATTTTGTATTCTGAATACATTCATTATTGACTTTTAGTTCTGACAAAATCGATTGTGTGTTTATATGCGTCTTGACCTGCATGTCAGTATTTTAATATTAATTTGTGCTTTCTTTTTTTTATTGCGTGTTCTAAATAAATTTTATCATCAAATGCAGTTCATCATTACTGTCGCAATCCTAATAAAAAAAATAATTTGACAGGCAAGAACCGACGAAACCTCAAATACTACTCGTTTACTAAATGAAATTTAAGTCGCTTGTCATATGAGGAATGACGAAAACTTTATCATCTTGAACTCCACTATCGATAGTCTTGGCCCAATCACTAGCACCAACTTGCACACCAACTAATTCACACAGACTCACTATGGGCGCACAGGTTAATGAGTCACGGGCCAGGTTTTCATCCAATTGGAATTTAATAGTTTATACATTAATTTTAGGGTTCCCTTCAAACAATCTAATATTTCGTCTTTGTAATAAATTAAACTGAAATCCACCCACAAAAGAACACTGCCGCCATCTCTTGACAGTCAAAGCGATTTAACTTGTAACTTTACGTCTTTGTCTACGTGGGAGCTAAGCTGAAACCCTAGGAATACTTATAAAAGTAGTAGTATATAGTTTTTTGTATTTGTTGATCCAGGTTGACAGTGTTCCAAATAAACCCTTTTAGCCATTCAACCGTGATTGAGTAACAAACTAGACGAGAGAAAGAAAGAAGATTACAGACTTTGCAGACATTAAGTACTTTGGGTCTTATGTTAATTGTAAATCTGAGGAGGAATGTGATTAACATGTAGTAAGATCTAATTCAGTATATTTTTTTTCCAATTCTTATACAGCCATCGCTGTAATCCTACTTTAGAAATCTGTTCAGTAGTTATTATTAAGTTCATTGTTTTCAGACAAAGCAAAAGCAGCAAAGAGTAAAATGATTTCTAAGATACAATATATATACAATTGTAAATTATATATTAACATAGTTACTTATACACAATTGTACATGGATTTGTTTAATCAGGAATTGAAAATTAGCTTTTATTAAAATTAGACTAATTAAAGAAAACTGTTGTGTACTTATAAATATATTAAACTTTTTATGAACTAATACGAGGGTCAAACTGAAAGTTCTTAGAAAATCAAAAACTGATTACATTAGCCAGTTATTAGTTTTATTATATCTTTTCAAAATATTGTCCATTCACGTCAATACACCGCTGCATGCGATGGAACCACTGGGAAAAGCACTTTGCCCACTCGTCCTTAGGGGTCTCTTCAATGGCATCGCGATACGCAGCCACCGCTTCTTCAGCATTCATAAACCGCTTTCCTTTAAGTTTTTCTTTAATTTTTGGAAATAAATAAAAATCACAAGGCGCGAGGTCGGGGCTATACGGCGGGTGACCCAGTAATTCAACGTTTGATGTCGCCAAATAGTCGATCGTTCGCTTGGCGGTGTGCGACGAGGCGTTGTCGTGGTGAAGGAGGATCCTACTGCGAGGTCGTTTCTCTCGAACTTTTTCCAAGACAAGTGGCAAACAATTGGTAGTGTACCATTCTGCAGAAACTGTTTTTTGATCCTCTAACACAATTGTTGCAAAATGACCTATCCTTCCAAAGAACGAGGCCACCATTTTTTTTCCCGCACTTCGATCTCTCTTCACTTTAGTTGGCAACTCCTCGAAAGGAAACACCCACTGAGCAGATTGTCTTTTGGTTTTAGGATCATAACAGTAAATCCAGCTTTCGTCACCTGTTAGTATGTCGAACACAGCATTTGAGTCACCTCCGTTAAATCTTTCAATCATTTTACGACACCAATCCACACGATGGAGTTTTTGAGCCTCAGTCAAATTATGAGGTATCCACCGGGCGCAAAGCTTCCTGACCGCTAAATGTTCGTGGAGGATTTTGTGCACTTGACTCATACCGATGCCTAAGCTTGTCCGAATCTGTTGATAGGTCACTCTTTTGTCAGTCTCTATCATACGCCGCACAACACAGATGTTATCTTCAGTCGTCGCCGTAGAAGGCCGTCCCTCACGTAAATCATCAGTGAGATTAGTGCGACCACGTTTAAACTCATTAAACCAGTTGTAAACAGTCGCACGAGATGGGGCTTCATCGTGAAAGGACAATCGTAGTCTATCATAACTTTCTTGTTGACTTAAATGACATCGAAAGTCATAAAAAATCATTGCACGAAAATTTTCTCGTGTTAAATTCATGATGACGTGACACAGACAATTTTCAATTTGCCGCCAAATCGTAAAACAAATAACAAATGAATGAAATATATACTCAGTAATATTGGCAAAGAGTTATATTTTCAAATTTTAGAATTATTTTTTTATTATATTGTTTATAAGTGGCCAGTTCTAAGAACTTTCAGTTTGACCCTCGTAAAAAAATACATGCAAGCTAAAGACATTAATGTCAATCGCTTTACAAGACTTATTAACATAAACTAAACTAAACGAATGCTTATAAAAATACAGCTTCCACAAGAATTAGCACATGAATAACAATAAAAAGATAATTAAA